CCCACTATGAACGCAGGCCCACTCTGACATTGTGCCTCTTATAACTACTCACTGCTTCCTATCTGTTAACCAGTTATCCATCCAGATTGCTACAGTTCCTAAAATACCTGTTGCTTTGAGTTTAAGTAAGAGCCTCTTGTGGGGGACAACATCAAAAGCCTTTTGGAAATCTAAGTAGATGACATCATAGGCCTTCTTATCATCAACTTCCTGAGTAGCTTCCTTAAAAAACTCAAACAGATTTGTCAAACAGGATCTACCTCTCCTAAATCTATGCTGGCTATCCCTCAAAATGTTATTTGAGTGCAGGTAATCTACCATTTTCTCTTTGATTATAGCCTCCATAACTTACTTGTATAACTTAAGTTATACAAGTTAGACTGATTAGCCTATAGTTTGACAAATTACTTCTATCCCCTTTTTTGAAAATGGGCGTTATGTTGGCATGCTTCCAATCAGAAGGTATCACACCTTCAGATAAGGATTTTTGAAACAGTAAAGTCAAGGGTCGGCAAATAATATCCCTCATCTCTTTTAACACTATAGGTAAGATGCCATCAGGGCCCTGAGATTTATTTTAACTCCTGCTTAAAGCTTTGAAGGCTTTTCATCTGATTATTCTTTAAACATTTTGTGAAATTTTGTATTTTTGTTATTTGTCAGTCCTGAAGATGGTGAAATATTTTTTCATATGTATTGCCAAATATGTGTTAGATGGGTAATTTAATTGTACTTAATTTTAGGCTCATGCACAGAAGCGTGGAAAAAGCTGTCAAAGAAAAGCCAAATGCAACCATCCATATGCAGGTGTAGCCATCTCTCCTAAAGATGAAATGGTAATATAAATGCATGGAGTATAAACTTAGGGTTAGCGTATAAGGAGTTTGGGTAACACTTTATAAAACTGTTCCGTAGTTAACAGGTAAATATGCAGTAAGTAAGCAGCAACAAAGGAGTAGTGCTTCATTAACGCCTAAATTGGTACTATTAACTACTAAGGAGTTATGCTTAATTACTCAATAGGTAATCGTGAACTAATTATTATAGTAGTTCGCTATTACTTCATTAGGAACTATTGAGTATTGCTGGTCTCATTGGGAATTATGTACTAACTATGGATTATTTCTAATAACTACTAGTTCATTACTCATCATATGAACAGTGCTTTTTTTGGACTAACTGGAACTTACAGGCTATTGTTCTCAATGGTTATTGCCATTTTTTTCCTTTTGGAATAACAGGCATGTTTCTTCCTACTTGTTTGTATGACATACAACTTATTCTACAAAATATTACTGCCTAAAATATGTATACAGTACCTACATTTCAGTTATTTACCTCACTTCAGTCCGTGTGCCAGTGTTCTTCAAACTGTGCTTTGAGGTCCAACTGAAGGGATGGTTAATCAGACTCGTGTTTTGCCACATGATGTGCTCTACCACATATTGTTGATCTTTTCTAAACATTAAGAAATTAATGTATGCACTTTAAATAAGGAATGAAGTCTTACTAATGACCTAAATAAAACTAATTGTAACTCATTAGTAATGAATGTGGCGTTACTGATTTTTTCAATAGGAGATACTAAAGAACAAGAACAGTATTATAAAGTGAGTCTGTACTATTTTACACGCAGTCCTACCAACGCTGTATACTTTCTGATTGTATTGTACTAATGTATGGAGGACTAGACATGACATAATTATAAATAAATAAATGTGTGAATAAATAAGTAAATACTGAAATAAATAAATACATAAATACAGTTTGGCCATGAAAACTGCTAAATGGATTCCTATATTTGTTTATTAACGTATTTAAATATTTATGAATTTCCACATTTCGTCATTTATTTATTTATGTATTTCCACATTTCTACATTTATTTATTACTGTATTTCCACATTTCTACATTTATTTATTACTGTATTTCCACATTTCTACATTCATTTATTTCTGCATTTCTGTCTCTGTATGTTAATAAGGTGGCCGGTCCCAAAAGCATGATTGGTTAAAAGTCGAGCTTCCTTGCGACTCAATAAGTAATGCCTCGACTTTTAACCAATCATGCTTTTGGGACCGCCCACCGTATTAACATACAGTAATAAATAAATGTAGAAATGTGGAAATACATAAATAAATAAATGACGAAATATGGAAATTCATAAATATTTAAATACGTTAATAAACAAATATAGGAATCCATTTAGCAGTTTTCATGGCCAATCTGTATTTATGTATTTATTTATTTCAGTATTTACTTATTTAGTCACACATTTATTTATTTATAATTAAGTCATGTCTAGTCCTCCATACTAATGAACCTCCCCTGTTAAGGTATACTTCTTACAGCATCATTAAATATGTAAATACCTAAAAACTGAAACCACAAAAGACACATAAAATTACAAAAATATAAAACTATTGTGATATATATCTCAACTCCGTAAAAGTTCCCCGTGGCTCGTTGGTCTAGGGGTATGATTCTCGCTTAGGGTGCGAGAGGTCCCGGGTTCAAATCCCGGACGAGCCCCGAATTTTCTTTTTTGTACTTTCTTTTTCATACGTGTGGAAATAGAAGCCAGTCGAAAAATGGTAAATACCTGCAAATAGTGGTAAATGTATATTAATGCCGTAGCGTGCCTTGAATGTTACAAAAGCAATTTTATTTAATAATAATACATTACGAAAGGGGACGTCGCACTTGGCTTAATCCAGTTTTATTGCTCGACGACTCCGTAGCAAAACTGCATTAAGCAAAGTGCGACCTCTTCAGTTATTTCAATTTTATTTTTTTGCCGTTCGGCACTCTGATTAGATATCATATTAATAAGAGTGAAGTCGGTTTTTAAGTAGCCTACTGCGTTAATAACACGTTAAGTTAAAAAGCGCTCCGCCGAATTTGAACATGCAACGTGAAGTGACAGGCGCTGTCGCTACGACAAGGGATTATAAATTAACCTCCAAAACCAAGAAATACCATTTAATAGTTATACATTTACATTTCGTTTTAACGTTTAAGAAACATTATTTAAACCTGTGGTGCTCGTGTTGGCCGGTTAGCTCAGTTGGTTAGAGCGTGGTGCTAATAACGCCAAGGTCGCGGGTTCGATCCCCGTACGGGCCATACGTATTTTCCTTTAGAGTTTTCCTAATTTTGTATATAAAAATCTCATCCCAATCTCAATGTGTCGCACACCATGAACAAAAATGAATGTAATTCAGGGGAGTATTCTTGTAACATACGAATCGCTCTACTCAAAGACGACAATATGGTGAAAGTGTGTTTCTGTGTAGGCTACTTCACTTTTATGCTAGCCCCTACAATATATAGCATTTGTAAATAAAAATACAGCATAGCTCAAGCGAAAGATTTATCGTTGTGGTTCTTACTCTTATGTGAAGACAGCTTTTTTACTTTTGCATTTATATATGCCTAACAAAACTCTACAACTTTTTCCAGCAGGGGGCGGTCCAATTATGGAAAATTGTTCGCCTGAGCGTTTTATAGTCCGTTTTATCGCAATCCGCCAGTATGTTTGCTCACGTTTTTGTCTGGAAGGACAATAGCTCCGGAAACTGCTAAAGCAGCAGATGAATATACAGCATCTGTATAATAAATCGGTCTTTTCAAGCCCGACATTTTCTGCTGTTTTGCTCTGAAAACGCGCTGGCTATTTGACCTAGTTCACTAAAAGGCCAATAGTTTAAACTGCATCTCTAGGGAAAAAATGAGAATCAACTGAATTCTGAGCCATTAACATTCTTTCAACCGAAACAATGTAATGCCTGAAACACAAGTAAGCTTAATTCATCAAGTGGTTTCATTCAGGATTTAAATTTCTTCTCATTCTTATTAGTTCGTCAGGCGCTGTTAGGCGAATCATCTAATCAGGGCTGTCTGGTGAGATGAAATATGCAACAAAAAGCGGAGTAGACGCACATTGTAGTGATTATGTAAAGAATAAACAGGTCGGTATTGTATGACTTCGGGATAAGATCAGGCATAATACACCCAGTCTCCATAGCTACATTCCTAACTTTATGAAAGTAACTTCTACTTTGTCGGGTTGGAATGGCATTTAATTCTTATCAAGGAAGGAAGAGAGGAGCAATTTCTGTCCCATCAAACAGTATTCTGCGCATTTTGTCGCTGTTGGCCAAAAACTGTCATTATATACGCTCCCCTGTGTCATAACGCAATTAACACATCCCTATTTCGTACAGCTTTTTCTCCTGTGGGAAGTGGATGTTACTTTATGAAATCAGCATGCAGCAGTAATGCAGCGTCCGTTACCCCGAATCATCCCTGTTGTGACACTTGAGACCACATATATTAATATAGATTAATTCAAAGTGAAGTCACCGTAGTTTTTCCACTCCAGTTGTTGGCAAAATGCACGCGTTATGTGATTTCACGACTTCACGACGAGTTCCCAAACAGTTGGCCTCTGCCTATGATTGATTTCTCATTTACCTAACCTAACTAATCAGCTGACCAACTATAATAATTACAACCTCCATTTAAACGATTATTTTAATAGAATAGGCCTATGTCTTTAACAGCAGGCCTTTAAAAAAAGGGAAATATGGCCCTATTGGTTCAGCTTATTCATCTTAAAACTACAGAGAAATGTAATAACTTATAATACAGTATATTTTATTTTCATCTTATTTTCATGATTTCTAATATCTTAGTTTGATTACTATACTCATTTAAATGTCAAAGAAATTGTCTGCGATTAACACGTGCGGCACACAACATTTATAGCTGCAAACAGAAATAACTAACTTTAGTAGCGTACCGGTATAGAGAGGTCTTTCAAAATCCCTAATTGTATGTTGTTCAACTGTTTCTTGGCATTAAATAAGCATTGCTCAAGATCGGGTTGTTAACGAGATCTTGGGAGTGTTTCTCGTTGCCAGTAAAGAAACTGATTTGAATTAACAGTTACTGTGTATTTGTTATCCTGAACTGAGTGACAGAGAGGGGGGGGGAGGGGAAGGAGGGGGCAGAGATCGGCTGGTAGAACCGTAGGATCGACAACTTATGCGAATGAAAGCATGCACGCGCAGTTCTGTACGGATGCAGAAACCGGCAGGGGAAGTACTGCAGGTTTCAAATCAGCGTTTTATCATTTAGCAAAGACTGAATGAAGCAGTCTCTGTCTGTTAATGTTGAAGTATGTGAAAAAGTCAAAGGAGACGCTATGCTATTTTCATTCTTTGGTCTTTTCCAAGCAGTGCTGTTTGTATATGTTTATACGTGTCAACCTGGCTTCATTGTAACAACAATTACGGCGCAGCCAGAATAACAGTGGACTGAGATGCTACAATGTTTCGGGGACAATTGCATCACTTTGTCTTTTGGTGGATTTTGGCGACGGTCGGGCTCTTGGTGACAGTGCCCGGTGTAGGAACCTATACTTGCCATGAGGTGCAAACGGCTTTCCAGATGCGCCAGATTGGCCCTTGGAAACTGGTGCCCGAAACACCCGAAACAGGTAAGTTTGCAGTGATTATCAGTAGCTGATGCTTTTGACATGTTATTTTACCTGTGTTTAGTCACTTGCGTAATTTATCGTTATTGCAACGTGTCCTTCTTCATGATACCGAATGCATTTAATATTATGTATTAATAAGTTAGTCTTACATTTATTGCCACATGAATTATTCACGGTTTACTTTTTTCTGTCAAATAAAGATATGAGAGCTAATAATTTACTGCATAATGAGCGAAAAAGAAACGGACTATGCAAATGAAGCGACATTATCAGCGCGAAGGCATATCGTTAAAGTCGTGTACTATAAATATCTGTTTTTGCGTGTCTTTTTTCTGTGTGGATATTAAATCGACATCACGGTCTTGTTGAAGGTAGGCGGAACGGGGCAGTAAGGTGCCTTCAACAGGTTTAGCTCTCTGTTTGTTCTGCTATGTACGTTTTGTTTTATAAGGAGGAGGAAGGAATCTGGTGTCCCAGACTGTGGGAAGGGAGAGGAAAAGGTGTATCCTGCAGTAGGGGGTCTCTCACTCTCCGGAGTTAAATGCAGTCTTTGTGACAGGACTCACACCCACATTCCTCCATGGTCATTTTTCAAAGGATTGTCATTACCAAATCTTCATTGTCCTGCTGTTCCCTCTGACTTGGAAGTTACACGCTGAAACAATAAAATGTGTGTTATTTGTGATTGCTGTAAAAATTGATGAGGGTATGACACTGATGTGCATCATCGCTGAAGCTCGAATTATTGGAAAGCTACAGTTATTTTCCCCAGCATGTGAGAAAAGTGTTCCAGAATCTTCCAGCCAAAATTACAAGTCTGTCAAAGTGTTTTATGTCACCCATATTAGATCAAAATGCTCCTTCCTGAAGTGCATCAATACCACATGACATTTAATCTGCATACGGTGGTCACAGTCACCTCTCGTCTTTGCTGACATGAAGGCATGGGTTACTGATGGCTAATGTCAGCCCTCCTTTCTGGAGGCACACTTATGATATATTTTGGAGTAGTTGTCAGAGCAACATGCAGCACCCAGGGCTGGGGGCAAGGGTCCCGGGTTGACCGAGGAGCCAGGTGCTTCAAGTCAGAACTTATTTTGAGACTCATTCAGATCTTGTGACTTTTTATGCTTATGCATGAACATACATCATGTTGTCAGGATGGTTCATCTGTTTGCTGGTATTGATATCATAACTGAGCTCCTCTAGGTTACCTGTAAGAGTTATAGGAGCAACAGGGAGCCAGCAAACACAATAGCTGTAATCTTGAAGACAGTGTGTGACCACAGTACTGTCTCATCTTGACCCAGAAGATGGTCAGATGTGGCTCCAGTTCAGCAGAGGGGGCTTCTGGTCTCAGCTAACATCCTTCCTACCTGTTGGCTTACTGCTGTTTGAACTTTGTGGGGAACTGCTCCTTGAGTAAATCAGCTGTCTTCCTCTCTCACCCTCACTCTTCAAAGAACTAATTAGAATTTCAGAAGACTAGGTGGGGTTTGTAGGGGGTAGGTGTGTATTCCAGCAGTTTTCATTTTTCAGATCCGTTGCCAAGTAAAGCAGGTCTTGATTTCTGAACCTCCAAAACCCTGCTTCTCAATGAGCCCCAGTCTGCTCTCTTGACTAGTGCCGAGGGTTTGGGGCAGGCGAAGAAAGAATTCGTTTCATTTCACTTTGTGATGCCAAGAGAGGAAAAGTTGTAGAGTTTCATGTTTTCCAAGGCCAAGGTTTGTAATAAACTTCTGGAAAAAAAAACAGTGCAAGTCAAAGATGTTCCATGAGCCTGTTATGTTCCTCAGCACATTGTGTTTCGATGTGTAACCTATTGACACATATGTCAACTTGAAGACAGGGTGGGCCTCTGTAGCCAGTGAACCAGTCACTTTCAGTTGTTTTTTTTAAATAATCTTTACAGATTCATCACATTTTTAATAAGGTTCTGTTTAAAGGAAAATTCTACCCAAAATCCATTCTTGTTTACTTGAGCTTGTCACTGCACAAGGTCCAATGTATTTGGAGAAAAAAAGCAAACTACGTCTGCTTTGAACAGATAACTTGCCCTTTTTTAATTATGTTCTTTGTTTTTTTTAGCCCAGAGACATTTCTGTGAATTCGCAGCGGATGTCTGTGGAAAGTAAAATCCGTGTCAGTGCAAAAACATACTGCTGCATATGTGCTTTACTGTCATCTATTTTCTGCACGCTTATAAACACCTAAAAGACAACACTGGATCATGTCAGTGGTATCAGGGAATCTATTAGTGACTATACTGTTGTAAAAATTACATGTACTTCCTGAAGAAGGATTCGGATCATCATGACATCTGAAACAAGATGCATGATGGATGGACGACGCTACATCTCCTGCTGTTCTTCTCAGTTTTAGATTTAGCTTTTGATAGTAACGGTTTATTGCCTTGCAGCGTTTGCCATTAATAAACAACTGATTTGTCCTGCCGCCAGGCCCTGGTATTAGAAGCGAGTGATACAAAGTTGTTTGCTTGGAGGACTTTTCCCCCTCCAGGTTTATGATCACTTCCTTGCGGTGCTACAAAGCCAAGAAAACCAGGCGGAGACCAGAGCCCTTGGGCGTGTCCCTCTCAGTCTCTCTCACCATTGGTCCTCTTCTGGGAGTCGCACCCAGGAGTCTTTTCTCATTGTATTTTACTTATTATTATGGTTTTAAGAATCTGAAAGCTGCTGGGGAAGTGGCTCGCATGACAAGCCTTTTGGGGGCCTACAAGCGTCATTTTTCAATATAGAATTTTCTAGATAAAGGTACGCTGTGGTGATGGTATGTTTGGTTCAGATAAAAGACGTTTGTGGTCCTTTTTTGGATTTTGTGATATGATGTGATATAATCTGTAAAACTAATGAATGCTGTTCTGGTACTTGGATAAATTCTGCAAGAAAGTTTATTGACAACCACATGCTGTTGTCAACAATGAATTCCCCAGGCCTTCGTGTCATCCCCTCCCCCCACAATCCCAGCACGGTTACACATGTGCGAAACCTAGTGTGCATATACCCACAGACTTGGCAGTGACATTACCTTCGTGCAGATTTCCAGCCTGCATCTGTGCCTGTGTCACGTAGAAGAACACCAAATGTCGTCCAAATTACTTAAAATATAAAACAAAAAAAAAAATAAAACATTGCCATAAAGAGTATGATTTTTAACACAATGAAAGTGATAGAGCACAATATGAAACAATAGACATTTTTCTATTGTTACATGATATAAGTCTTCATATCGCACAGCCCTACTGACAAGTACCGTATTACTGGGAAGTATAATATCCATACTTTCAGATTTTCAGTGTTCGCATAGTGGCTTCTGCAGACTCCCTTTAAATTCTTTGCTGTCACATATTGCTCTTACTTCAGTTGTGGGGTGATCGTGTCTCAGGTGTGTAAGTGTTAGATTTTCAGCAGCGGTGGGTACAGCTAACCGAAAAGTTAGCTTCACTAACCACTAACTGCTAACTTTCATTATATGAATTTAGCTTTGGTTTAGTTTTTGGCTCTGAAACCCATAAAATCATACTTGGAGACTTGGGAATTTATAACTTGTCCCATCTGTCAGACTAGAGTGAGTACCGGGGGATGTTTAGGACTTTACCCAATTGAGTACCCACTGAATTTCAAATGTAGATTTATATCCATATATTGTTTTTGTGCAGTGATCATAAGAGCCATTAAAGATCAAATACTGCTTCCTATCCATCCATCCACTGTACGAGTTTTGTACTTTTATTGTCTTGCTCATTTGCACAACACCAAGCCCTTTGTGCCATATTTGGTTGTCCCACTTTATTTATTTGCTTAAATGTTTATTTATTATTTTCAAATCTTCATTTCTATTGTACTTTTATTTTGTTTATTGTTATTTATAGACACTGTGACCGCTACCATGTGAAACAAATACCTTGAATACCAGCACAAGTCAAGGTCTGGGATATATTACGTGGCAAGCTAACATTCAGTACTTGTGGTTGATGTTTTGAATGCAGATGAAATGGGCAGACTTGAATGATGCTGATAAGGTCAAATCGTTATGGCCAGACGAATGGTTTAGACCAGGGGTGGCCAATCTTATCCGCAAAGGGCCGGTGTGTATGCGGGTTTTCGCTGCAACTCCCTTATTAGAGGACTGATTAGCTGAAGAGTCCTCACACCTGGGTTTGAACAGCTGACCTACAGGTTATCCCAAAAACCTGCATACACACCGGCCCTTTGCGGATAAGATTGGCCACCCCAGGCTTAGGCCATCGCACCGCAAGGCTTGTTGTGTCCCCATGGTCAGCTCAGCTATGGTGAGTAGCTACTGAGAGTGGTCCGAGGAGGGAAAAACTGCTGACGGGGGGCCAAAACACACCAATGCGAGATGTGATCGAAGGCTATCCTCTCTGGTACGAAGCAACAGAAGGTCATCATGGGCATCATGTGGCTTCATGTGCAGCAAGTATAGGGCACTATGAAATCCTTCTTTTTTAACTTGCTTTGATCTGTTTTGGAATTTAAGTTTTTATATGTTGCTGAACTGAAAAATTGAGCCTTTAAGGAGACAAAAAGTCCTATAGTTATTGAGGATGATGTGATGCACTCTATTGTCTGTATCCACTTTTCTCTTCTTAAAGGCTATACTTCTGCCTAGTCTGTGTGAGTTTATTCTTGCTTGCTGTTTTACTGCTGTCCTTTTAAGGATTATGCAATAAAAGAGCCTGCTAAATATCGAGCTTTGCTGTCTGCCTCATGATCTGATTGCCACTCGTGTGCCACAATATTTTATTTAACGACCTGTGACAGGTTTATAATTCATTATTAAATCTGGCTAGTAGATTGATCATTTGTCTTCCACCAAATAAAAAAATCACATAACATTATTCCCCTGACAAACACTAGCAATGGCTATAGATCAAATTTTCAAATTTTTGCTCCACTACTTCTATTTTTTTCCGTGCACCTCCAGGTAACTTACGATTGGTCAACCAATCAGCAGGT